CATCTATGCGCTGGATGATTTGCTGATTGCAGCATCCGCCTGCCAGGATGACACAGACTTTCAGTTAGTACTGTCGCACACTTTTGTGGGCCTGCTCAGCTCGGACTCGCCGGGCTGCAAACAGACGCCCGCTGAATCAGCCGCATCCGCAGCCAATGAAGCTGCTTCTATGCCCAGTAAGTATCACTCCTCTCCCGTTTGTGTGAAGTCCTGGTGCTCGTGTTCGGGAGGTCAGGTCTTGTGCGTAGTACCCGTAGACAGGGTCATTGGGTATATCAGCCACTGGGCCCATTCCCCGCACCGGAAAACTGCCCGGTTCTACCACTGTCTGAGGCCTGGGAAGGGGAATGGAGAGTGAAGCCCATGGTTTAGCGCATTCTCCTAACTGTAAACACACTGACGCGCTTGGAGTTATTACGGTGCAATAAAAACCGTGGCTTGGAAGGCTGCCGCCAACTGACGTGATAAATAGAACCTCACAGTCAATTCAGTCTGTGTGTTCATGTGGAGAGGCCGACTGGCGGACCGAGAGTCAGGCAGTGATTGCTCTCTATTAATGAGGCCTTAAGATTACTCCCAATCCGTGCGATGGGATGCAGGTGTGGCGGCACGCCTAGGAATGGCTCTGGCTGCGCCATCTATCTGCGTAACCATCGGTCTTCTTGACTTGGTCATGAGACCAGGCCAAGACGAGGAAGGAGGAGTGGGTGCAGCGTAAATCTACTACCGCCGTAGTCAAATTCACGCGCAAGTTGTCGTCCCTGTGCCACCTTGTCGTGAAACACAGTGAACTTCGTCAATAATGACGTTCAAACCATCGTATCCAGAATGTGACCTCTCTGACTGGGATTGCCATCTGACATGAGCCAATAAAGTGGAGCAAAGCAAAAACTAGCAGACAGTGAAAAAACTCCTTTCGCTTTTTAGGCGAAGAAAACTGTCGCTTAGGTGAAGGCAGCACGCCAATTCAAAACGGGGAGGAGGTCTTAGCGTTTACGGGGATTATCGGGGAAGTGTGATAGATGCACCCAGGTACTCCCTTGCTGATTGCAGAGTACACCGACAACGTGGCGAAAACAGAAGTATCCACCACGATTGTCGACAGTTCATTGCGGGTCGACTCAGGGTCGCAAGATGCGGTAGATGCAATGCATTTATAGAACGAGGTAAAAACTGCACCCTCCTATGTTCAGCAATGATATTGAGTCTTTCTTTATGTTTGAGTGGTCAGTTACCAGACTCTCTTCTCCGTGGTGGAGTTGTATTTTTACATGGCATAACCCATGTCCTTTAACCTATACTTCACTGATCACCTTCTACTGTCTCAACGCATGCATACTGTAGCATCATTTTTAACTGTTTTTTTTAGAAAGAGATCTGAAGTCTGCAGTTGTTTTATTTCACACGTCTTCTTCCTTTCAGCAGCCCAACCTATTCTCCAGCCTGTTGTGGTTCCACTCTCCTCCCTTCAGCGCATTGGAATTGTGAATGTTGGCTTCCAATTCAATGCCCTTGTTGTCCATCCAGAAAACGAGGCTCTTTTCGCCGCCAGTGATTCCAGGGTTCGTACAGAGCTCTCTTTCAGTCTCCATAAATTTAGATTTTTACGATTTCTTAAGCTTTTCAACACCTGAATACTTGCCAAAATATTTTTTTTAAATTCTGATGTCTACCACTTCAAGAAATGGACATTTGCCACTACCTGCCTCGCTGGTATACCATACTACTAAAACAGATATTGTCACCCCTCCCGTTATACAATATTCCACTTTCTCCAGGGGCTTACATGCTAGATACCTGCCGAGACTACTTCAGGGGAAGAAAAAATTCGAACAGCACCATAGTTATATCCTTGATCTGAGCCTTTATCAAGA